AAGAGGTTCTCCAGCTGCTCAGGGAATGTTTGGGGCTTGGCAGAACACAAAACGCTTTTTCTCAAGCATTCAGTATGTTCCCCCTGCTTTCCATAAACTGCCTGTTTATTGGGAGTAAAATTGAGTCCATATGGCTCACGTCCCTTGGCCTGATTCTCCACGGCATGATTTCCTTTAAGATTGTCCGAGGTCCCAGTGTTTTGGATCTTCTGCCTTAGGAGGACACGGCATCTTACCACAGAGAATCTGAAGCCAAAACCTCAGGGAGTGTGTTTTGCGTGATACCCTGAAAGACGCGTGAATGCAGGGCGGCAGAGCTGGCCCTGCTGTGAGAAAGCACAGGCCGTCCTCGGGTGTGCAGAGCGGAGACCGGGGCTGCATCTTTCCCTCGTGGTTTCCCATGAGGAGCCGGCCGTGGCTGGGTTAGAGGCAGGCTCCTCAAGGCTTTCTGCCTCTCCCTGAGTTTCTCTCCCTTTCTGTCTCCGTGGGGGAAAGCATTGACCTTCACATCCCAGGATGTCAGACCCACGTGCTTGGGGAGGGGTGCAAGATTTTGCCCTTACGTATTATTTCCTTTCCAGTGGAAAATGGAGAGGGAGTGCTTTAGCACTTTCCAGCTGGAGCTCATTCCAGCACTTTCTCTGGGGGTGGCAAGAAAGGCGATGTGGTAAGACACATGAAAATCATGAAGACACCAAAGACTTGTAGTACTTCCTGGAGCACTAAACCCAAAGCCCAGGCTGACAAAGGCAATTTGAAGGCAGGTTTCATCTATTTGCTTTCTTGGGAGAAATTCAGCATATATTCAGTGGCATCTGACACACCCAGGATTGGGGGGTATGTCAACCCTTTGCTTGGACACTGTGAGTTCCCTTTACATTGCACGTGATTTTAGGGGTAAGGGAAATGCTCTGTACCACACTAATGCACTTGCACACACACCTGCACGCACACACGCAACCTGCATACACACACACTGTCTGATGACTGGAAGTCTACAAGTAGGATTGTATTCCTTTAACTATAAACTTTCAGCTATCAGATGAATAAAGTCGGAGGTGGTAAAACATGGTAATTGTAGTTGATAACACTGTACCATATAATTGAAATTGGCTCAGAGGGTAGAACTTAAATGTTCTCAGGTGCACACAAAAGATAAATATGAAGGCTGATGGACGTGTTAATCAAGTAGATGGTGGGAATCCTTTCACAATGTATGTGGATATCAAGTCACCATGGTGTACACTTTATATATCTTACAATTTTATGCCAGTTATACCTCAATAAATCTAAAATAAACAAAAAAGGGGAAACAACAATGATGACAATAGAATTGCGTTTCTTTAGCCTTAGCCCTTGATTCTTGTGAAGCTGCTGAGAACCCTGGGATTTGCGTAGGGCACATTTGGGAGGTGAAAGCTGGGAAAGAGAATAGAAGGATCTCAGGGTTCCAGAGTAGGCTTTGCAGAAGTCTCACCAAGAGGTAGGGTTGAGGAAGACTGTCCAGAACAGAGAGGAAACTACCTTTCTTTACACACCTGAGAAGGGTCTCCTAGCTCTGCATTTTGGAGTCCTTTGAAAACTGGAAGCATTCTTATTTTTAACAATATGTCATCAGGTTTCAAGAAGTGACCCATACTTTTCGATGGAGATTCCTGTTCCTCAGAACATGGGGGGTGGGGAGGAGATGTGCATGGGGTTAGGATGTGGGTCAAGTTTTGTATGTATGTTTGAGTTGCATCTTCTGGAGAGAGACCATAGCTTTCACTGGGATCATAGAGAGGTCCTGAGGAATTGGAGCAAGAAGTCCTGGCCACGTCATCTGAGCCTCTGAAACAGCCCAAGTTCAGGGTCCATAGCACTGTCACCAGCTCGCTAGACACAGGTGCCGGAACAGGTCCATTACCTCTGGGACGTGCCTGCCCATCCAAGGCTCTGGAGGGCCCTTCTACCATTCCATGAACACTGTCCTTCAAAGGTCTCCATGTCTCTTTGGGGCTTACAAAAGAAAAAATTTATTTTCTGACCATAAAAGTAGAAACTTAGACAATGTAGAATAATGTAGTAAAGAAAATGAAAATCGGTCATAATCTTACTAATGAATTAGCCACTGTAAACATTTCGAGGTCTTCCCATCCAGGTTTTCCCCTTTTCTTTTGTGTTTTTAAGAGAGAGTTGAGATCATAGTATGTCTGTGAATGGAGCCCTTTTCACTTAATGTTACATCATAATCATCTTGCCTGCCATTAAAAAGTCTTTATAAGCATCATTTTCAATGGCTGCACAGTATTCCATGTACAGCTGTACCCATTCTTCTAGCGCTGGGCATTTGCATTTGTCCCTTTTTGCTTTAATAAATAATGCATGAGAAGCATCTCAGGGCAAGATGCTGTGCTTACACTTTATATTATTTATGATAGATTCCTAGAAGTCTCTTTTGACTTTTGAAGATACCGTAAGTTAAAATGTTGCTGAGACCTATCTATAAAGTGTGGACATCACAAAAGCCTGTGGCAGAAAGGTAGGGCCTGGCATCAATGCTCACTGGATTCCTGCAAAACGCATGCCGGGCCTCTAGGAGCTGTGGGCACCGTGAATGACCCAGACTTTATCCTTGAGCAATTTATTGTGTAGTGTGAAGCCACAACTTGCATAAATAACCTGAGGAAGAGATGCCTGTATCTTGGAACCTTGGGGGAACCATGCGTGAGTTCAGAATGGGGCCGACTTTTCAGTGTTTGTTTATATTGCACTTTCTGGAGAGAGAGTCTAGCTTTCATCAGACTCTTCATCTACAAAACTGCTAAGAATTCCCCATTCAGTGATTGTACTGGGGGAGCATGAATTAAATTTCCCAGTTTAGTTTTTTCTTTTACTATTTTTTTAAATAGTTTTTATAATAGAAATAAGAAACTTTTATGTGCCATTAATATGACCAATAGAGTATAACAAGAAGATGGCAGTCAGGGGTCCTGGTTTTGGGGACCTTGAGATAGGGTAGAGGAGAGGCCACAGGCTGTACCCAACAGGTATGAGGCAGATTTTGGCAGCATTTGTCACCTGTCCCTGCAGTGACCTACCAGTTCGTTTACAGGTAAATCTGCTCCTGCCCGCATAAGCTGGTGTTACACCAGCCTAATGCCTACAGGATCGTGTTATCAGAACATTAGGTTATACAGGTGCATGGCACTTCTGGTAATCTAAACCAGCGTTCCCTCATCCCTCTGCTGGAGCCTGGGTGCCGAAAGTTAAAGATGCTTATTGCTCATTCATGGCCATCAGGAAAGCCATCAGCTTGGTCACGCTGCAGGCTCCAGGCCTTTCACTCAGGGCCAGCATGAGATGTGCACATGGGAATTGATAGCCGCCAATTGTACTTATTTTCTACACTCAGTTCTGACCAAGTCTGTTGTTTGACTAGTTCTTCCAATGGGAAAATGAGAGAGCCATGTGCCAGGCCATGGCCCCGTCCAGGTGTCCAAAGAACCCTATCTCAGCTCAGCTTGTGGTGAAATTTCATGGATTTTGTCAAGTCAGGTGCTCACAGTTGGGACAGCCAGGATGGTTGTATGTGTCTTATCACTCCACTGCCCTGCAGTATCTCCGTGTCTGTGGCTGGAGTGTCCAGGTCCCCATTAGGGTCTGTGCGCAGAGCATGACTGGACAATAGCGCCCTGCTACAGGCAGCCACATATCTTGACCCAGGAGCCCCCAGGTCTTTTACCTAGCATCCTTTAGTCTGGCTTGCTAACGAAATTCGTATAATTCTCTTATTACTGTTGTGTTATTTTGAGTTCCGGTTGGCTGTTTCTCCCGGTTCAGCAGAGTTGTTTTTCTTCCTTGGCTCTTGGCTTCTGCAGCATAAATCCTTCTTCCTTGCCACTCTCCTTTCCGCTGGCCCTTTGTTTTCTCCACATGCAGAACCACACAGTCTCCTCAAGGGCTTGCATCTACCTGTAATTTATGCACTCATTCCAGTTATCACATAAGCCTAATTCTTATTTGGCTTCAGCTCCATTGGCCAAAAGCACTAAACCTCACAGTGAGACAGATGGCAGTTGGGGAGCAACTGGCCACTGCCCACCCCTCAGATAATATCTGCTGTTCCCGTAAGGAGGCAGAAAACATTAAACTAACACATCTGTCACGCTGCTAGCCTTAATCCATAATGCAAAGTAAACAAGCAAGATAACACTCAAAATATAATCCTTTGTTGGTGGTTGTGAGGGAGACAGCTAGAAGCTTAGGCTTTTGAAGGATATCATTAAGAAATTCTTCCTCATACTTAATCAGACTGACCTTGGCCTTGATTTAAGCTTATGTAGTCTAGTTTTGTCTAGATAGAGACACTATTCTTTTCTCTCCATGTGATATTTTTAATAATACATTTTAAACAATTTTATTTTACATATAAAATAAAACTTAAAGCATTTCTTATGTAAGATAATTCTAACNATATTTTTAATAATACATTTTAAACAATTTTATTTTACATATAAAATAAAACTTAAAGCATTTATGTAAGATAATTCTAATAAAACATTTCATATTTGTAAAAAGATTATATTGCATAATTTAATAGAACTCATGTTTTATATTAATATTTTAAATATATTTTACAAGGAACATAGTTGTATATAAAATATAGACATATACATAAAATATTAAATGAGGTATTTTATATCTTAAACATTAAATATTTCTAAAATATAGGCAATTTAAAATATTAAAATAAGTCAATATTTAAATCAATGCCAATGGTTTGTACTAAAATTAAGTAATTCAACTTAGCTATTTAATAATTGAATATATATAAAATATTGAAGTACACAGAATATATTTTTGCATAAATAAAAGGTGTTATAAAATATTTAATTGTAATAAGGATATCCGATCCAGTCTGGGTCCCATGCCAAGAATTAACGTCTGGGGGCCACAGCGCCCCCTACCGCTCCCTCCGCACCCAGCGCCCTGATCAGCTGTTTTCCTCCCACCCGCAGGCATCGGCAAGAACGTCATCTGCGACCGCACAGCCACGCCCCTGGACGCCTTCCGCATGATGTCCGCCGCCCACTACTACCCCAAGCTCATGAGCATCATGGGCAACGTGCTGCGCTTCCTGCCGGCCTTCGTGCGCATGAAGCAGCTCATCGAGGAGGGCTACGTTGGCGAGCTGCTGGTGTGCGAGGTGCAAGTGCACAGCGGCAGCCTGCTGGGCAAGAAGTACAACTGGAGCTGCGACGACCTGATGGGCGGGGGCGGCCTGCACTCGGTGGGCACCTACATCATCGACCTGCTCACCTTCCTCACTGGCCAGAAGGCCATCAAGGTCCACGGGCTGCTCAAGACCTTCGTGAAGCAGACCGACCACATCAAGGGCATCCGCCAGATCACCAGCGACGACTTCTGCACCTTCCAGATGGTGCTGGAGGGCGGGGTGTGCTGCACGGTCACCCTCAACTTCAACGTGCCCGGCGAGTTCAAGCAGGACGTGACCGTGGTGGGCTCCGCCGGGCGCCTGCTGGCGGTGGGCACGGACCTGTATGGGCAGCGCAATAGCGCCCCGGAGCAGGAGCTGCTTCTGCAGGACTCCACGCCCGTCAGCAACTCCCTGCTGCCCGAGAAGGCCTTCAGTGACATCCCCTCGCCCTACCTGCGTGGCACCATCAAGATGATGCAGGCCGTGCGCCAAGCCTTCCAGGACCAGGACGACAGGCGTACTTGGGACGGACGGCCGCTCACCATGGCCGCCACCTTCGACGACTGCCTGTACGCCCTGTGCGTGGTAGACACCATCAAGAGGTCCAGCCAGACGGGCGAGTGGCAGAACATTGCCATTATGACGGAGGAGCCGGACGTGAGCCCCGCCTACCTGATCAGCGAGGCCATGCGCCGAAGCAGGATGTCCCTGTACTGTTAGCACAGACTGGGGACCTAGGGAGACTTGGGCCTTCTGCGTGGGGCCCAGAGTGGTGAAAGGCATTGGGGAGAGGTGGCTTCCAGGAGTGTGGGGGCGGGGAGGTGGAGGAACAATGGGAATAAATAGCATCTGGGAAGGTGAACCCCAGCCCAGGTGAGGGACCTCAAATAAGTCTGTTAGGATGCTGAGTAAATAGCGTGGGAGTGTTCAGAGGGCCTCCCTTTCCTGTGATCATCTCTGCTGGGTATTTGCATGAGAGAAAGGAGGTCTGGCTGCCTCTGCTGCACTTTACTGAGGAGCAAGGAGGGGTGGCTTTCCGCCTCATCTCATCCACTCCCCACACTTTGGCCTCCTTTGCAAGCCAAATGCTCCTGCGAGGTGAAACTCAGCTGGCCCCAGCTCCCTATCCCACC